ATGTTCTAAGTATATGTGTGTTTTAATGTTCTAAGTATGCAAAAAATCAAAGGAGATGTTCTAAGTATCTGTTTTTCTGATGTTCTAAGTGCGTACTTAGAACATTTCTGATGTTCTAAGTATGGTAATTTTGATGTTCTAAGAAAAGGTTCCGAAATTTTGGAAAAATTGATGTTCTAAGTATATGTCCGTCGCTATATATATATATATAATCTATCTATTTACCTATCTAATCTAATCTCATTTTATCTAAATCTAATCTAATCTTATCTTCTCTAATCTTATCTATCCATCCATCCATCTATTTATCTATCTATCTATCTATCTATCTATCTATCTAATTATCTAATTATCTAATCTATGCATACTATCCAATAGATTGGTTGATTATTATTTGGGTTTTTAGATTATTGAATACATCAGATAAAGCCATATAAAGCTATATCATTTATCCTCAAATGACTTATATTCTCTTATGTGGTCTCATCAGATAAGGTGTCCATCTACCGCACGCCCTGTGGCGCCTTGGCCTCGCCCATGGCTTCGCTGTCCGGCGACGGATCGGTGCATGCGCTGCTGGCGACGGCGGGCGGTTGCGTGGTGCTGAGAACACGCAGCAGTGCCGGGCCTTTTGCTTGGGGGGTAGAACTGGTGTTGATGGGGGGTTTGAACCACACAAAAATAGGATAAACTAGTTGGATCCATGTTTGGTATTTTTTTTTGAATACCTACGATGGACAGGAACCAAGATGAACACAAAAAGGTTGGTGTCCTGGAGATATGTGACTATAATGATTAATTATGATCATATACATATGCAATATATGTATATACAGTATATGCATAAACCGGATATATATATAGATATACATATCTATACATATATATATGTATGTATTTACAGTATATAATATATATTTATATATATTTATTTACGTATGTAGATGTTTGTTTGTTTGCTTTCCTGAAACAAGATGAGTTTTCACTACAGAAGTCCACAGATGTTCACAGTAATAATTTGGTATTACATTAGATTCGGGTGTTGAGGAAGCCCAGGTTACCTGAATTCGCCAAGGTATCCTCCTCTGCAAACTGAACCTTTCAGCAAGGGTCGAATCAATGAAGCTTGAATTCAGCTTGGATTTGGGTGGATTTCCCAAGCAATGGGATGAAGCCCACAGTTAAAGGTGGGAGGTGCTGCCTTAGATAACACTGATTGAAAAGAACACATATAGCGGTTCAAACTTTTCATGGTTGAAATGCTGGAATTCAAATTCAAATTCCAAAAAAAAATGAGGATATTGATGGACACGTTGTCTCTATCATTCCATTCAACGACATAAATTGACATCAATGATATACTATCAGCTTGGCCATCCAAAGCCTATTCCAACAATGGTCTTTCTATCAAAGACTATATATATATAAATATATTTGATTTTGCCGCAAAGGTCTTTGTCTATTCACGGTCATTCACGGTTCATGCCTGCACATGTGTGTGTTTCTCAAGATGAATCAAAACATTTAGAAGAGCTACTCTTCCTGCCCTCTTGGCAGCATTTTCAACATAGTCACCCATGACCCCCCAAAGATCCCGAACGATTTTCCAATGGCTGTTCACCAGTCACACTTGCATCACCGATTGGCTACAATGATTTGACTGGAGATGGTCTTGAGTCTTGATCATTTTGAGAGTTTGGTTGTTCAACTAGAATTCTGCAACACCCAAACGCTTCAAAGTACTTCAGCTTGCAAGGTGCGCAATATATCAGCAAACCAACGTTTTTTAATATGTTTTTATGTTTTCTCAAAGCATAACTGTACGGCCCGTGGATCATCAAAACTGGCTCCATCATCAGTCACACCTACATCAACCTGTGGCACATCTGAACGAATTGATTTTGTGCCGATTTTTAACATGATTTTGAAGGGTTTGACGTTCACGCCCACAAGCGCTTGTTCACGGCTAAAAATGGCCATTCACGAAAATTTTACGGTATTTCACGTTTTTCCACGGTCTATTTACGGTCTATTCGCGGCACCACTTCAACTTAACATGGTTGCAAAGGGTTGCAATGCTGTTTTTCTAGTCATGCTTTTTCCTGATATATGAGCTCGCAATATCGTTGGGCAATCACGTCTCTCGAAAACGCACAGAAATCCAATAGCCCAGTCTTGGAAAAAAAATATATATATATATTTATTTATTTATTGATTTATTTATTTATAATGAACCTTTGAACTTTGAATGTTGGGCTTCCACCTCGGATCTACAGGTGCGGGGGGAGAATTGCCAATATTGTGGTACTGTAATCGTGACCACAACACCAATAAATTCAAACTGCTTTGCAGGGTTGTCAAGGGGAGCGGCCCTGTTCCTTTCAAAAAATGCTTGGATATACTGTGAGACTAGTTCCAATCATGGCATCATAAGCTGACTTTTACTAGCTTGTGTGTGGCAACTATATTTGAAACATACAGACCTTTGATAACACTGTGGAAGCCTTTCTTATCTACAAATTTGAGCCACAGAAAGCAACCCATGGAACAGGCCAAAGGCCTTTGTTGGCCAAAAATGGTCTCCCGAAAGGCTATTTTAACAATGGTCCTTGACCCCCAGGGATCATGTCATGGTTGAAAAACTGGCGCTAAACCATCTCACTTGAAAAACATGCCAATTTTGAATGCAAAACATGGCCCGTTGCCATGGAACGATGCCTCAGGAAGCGACCGCTGATCTCTCGTGAGCAGATGCCTCTAGGAATGGACCCCCAAGCTTTGCTAAAGATGTTGGACGCTCGAGGGGAAGACTGAGATGCCAAGCGCATCCAAGCGCCAAAAATCACGCGGCAGCAGTGGGTTTGAGCAGGGGCTGTAGTTCTGCAGTATATGAGGAAGTGTAAGCACCAAATCTGAATGAGTGTGATCAAAATCGAAGGCTCTACATGTTGATTTTCTTTGGAAAGGCCAGCGTCGTGGTGAATCCCACCGAAAGATTCATATTCACAGAGAAAACTATACAAATCACTGGGTGAAATGAGTGGTGTTTTCATGCCCGCTTGTTTTCCAAACCACCCTACATTACTTGGGATTTTGCATGTTTTGGAGAGGCCAAGTGTGAATGTCATGGAAACGCAGGCTTGTTGAACAACCCAACCGACATGACATACCTGGATCGCCGAGACATGATCCCTTTCTCCCTGTTAAACATGTTCCGTCCAACCCGGACGTTGCTCCACTGGCTCCACACTTTCAATCATCGAGATCATGATGGTGATGATACTGATGATGGTGATGATGAATGATGATGATTATGATGATGATGGTGATGATGTTGATGATGATGATGATGATGGCTGGTGATGGCTGATGATGATGATGATGATGTTGATGATGATGATGATGGTGATGATGACTGATGACTGATGACAATGATGATGATGATGATGATGATGATGATGATGATGATGATGATGATGATGATGATGATGATGATGACTGATGATGATGATTATGATTTTTGATGATGATGATGATGATGAATTATGGTGATGATGATGATGATGATGATGATGATGAATGATGGATGATGATGATGACTGATGATGATGAGGATGATGATGATGATGATGATGATGACCGGTGATACTGATGGTGATGATGATGATGCTGATGATGATGATGGTGATGATGATGACCATGATGATGATGACTGTGATGACTGATGATGATGATGATGATGATGATGATGATGATGATGATGATGACTGATGATGATGATGGTGATGATGACTGATGACGATGATGATGATGATGATGATGATGATGATGATGATGATGATGATGATGACTGATGATGATTATGATTTTTGATGATGATGATGATGATGATGAATGATGATGATGGTGATGATGATGATGATGATGACCATCACCATCACCATCACCATCACCATCACCATCACCATCACCACCATGGTCTTGCCTTCATTACCATCATCATGATCATCACCAGTGTCAACTCATGTGGAATGTGGTATTAGCATCAACTTATATGTCTTATATTCATAAGGGGTCAAATATCCACCACCCCCTCTGACACATATGTTGAATTGTGTAGTCACATCAGCTTATCTTCAAAAGGGATCAAACATCCACCACCCTCTCTGACAAATACGTTGAATGGGGTAATCACATCAACTCATCTTCATAAGGGATCAACAATCCACCACCCTCTCTGACAAATACGTTGGATGGGGTAATCACATCAACTCATCTTCATAAGGGATCAAACATCCACCGCCCCCTCTGACAAACATATACGTTGAATGGGGTAATCACATCAACTCATCTTCATAAGGGATCAACGAATCCACTGCCCCCTTTGACAAATATGCTAATCTGATCATAGCATCAACATATCTTCATAAGGAATCAACAAATCCTCTACCCCGTGTGGCAAACATGATGAATCTGATAGTAGCATCAACTTATCTTCATAAGGGATGATGGTGATGATGATGATGATGACGATGATGATGATGATGATTATGATGGTGATGGTGATGGTGATGATGATGATGACGATGATGATGACGATGACGGTGATGGTGATGACGATGATGATGATGATGGTGATGGTGATGATCATGGCATATTCCGAAATGGCATTTCAAAATTCGCACCCTTCCGCAATTCCGGCGCGGAGCAACGTCAGGGTTGCACCGAACATGTTTCAACATGTTTAAACTTTGAATTGTGTTTTTTTTTCCCTCTGGCCCCCTGTTGAGACCTCTTCAACCTAAGAAGGCGCCCAGGCATCGCCGGGCCTCGAAACTCGCAGGTCCCAAACCAGCCACCGCTACGGTGCTTTGCCCTGCGACTTCACCATGTGTCTCTTGGAGCAGCTGCTAAAAGAACAACCAGGTGATCGGTCCAAATTCGTAGCCTTATCTCAATGTATCGCAACACCCAAAACGATAGAAACGTGTTTCCACAGGATGGTCTACGTTATATTTGCTGTACTTCAATCTTTCTAAGTGTCCAACTGTTCTATTTTTCTTTGGGGGTGCTATATCCTAATCCAGTGGTTGGGAGGGAGGTCAGGAACTATAGACTTTCTATGAAACGGGAAGCCGAGGAGCGACCCACTCCTTTGGATGCATTTGGTGCAAAAACGAATCCTTGGTGGTTTGAAAAATTGTTTAATATTTTTTTTCTCACTGTCCGTCTTGGGACGCTGAACCTTGGCTTGCGGCTTGAGATATCATTGGCAGTTGAAAGCACCAACTGCGGGCGTCAACCCCAGGGGTCACCTTTGGCACCGGCGAGTACCACACCGGTTCCGACAACCACGGCAACCACAGCAGCGCCAAGCACCACGGTCCAGGCCCCCTGATTTCCGAAGCGTGTCAATCTGTGATGCACGCAAATCGCATCAAAACGCAGGAGTACTTGAAGCTTTTGACGTTGGCTTTTGATACTTCTGGTTCGTCTGTACTGCTCAGGCTGGCCCATCACCAGTGTGGGTCTATACCGCATGGCCACTTGGAGAATGCCGTCCTAGTGCGGGCTGCCAATGGCTGCCACAAGGGGGTTATCCAATAACCATAGGCTACATATATATATATTATATATATAGGGATATGTAATGGGAATATAATGGGTCATCATGGGTTACCATGTCCATAGGAGCCTAATCTAGAAACGGGCCATTTGCAATAGCTACGTTAAATTCCAGAGGGTAGTAATAGGTAAAGATCACTGAAAACCCGTTTATTGATACAATTTCTTAATCAGACGAGTTCTGAACCGTTTCAGCACTTTTAGGAGGCATCAACACCCCAGCATCAATATCCTCGTGTTTGATGATTTAGTCTGATTTTCCCTCAATCCTCGCTAGGTCATGGGTGGCTCAAAAACTAAACGGTTTCTTCATGATGTTGTTTGACTGCTTATATCATCTTATACCCTCATGTTTGCTGGTTCGGTGGGGTGATATGTTCATCTTTAGAACTTCGTAGTCATGGTGGTTGAATCATGTTGCAACATGTTGCACCCCCCATAGGTCCACATTTTCATATTGGTCCAGTCCCTCTGTTTTCACTCCACCTTCGCTGCCGAATGGCAACTGCCACCAAGGATGACAGACAGAACCAACTGCCACGCCCGGAGATGCGGGGAAGGCCATGGTTTATACAACAGGAGGTGGCAGCAAAAATGGGGATTAAACTCTTGCTTGTCCGGCAACAACGGAATATGTACCTATAATGGATAACCATATAATTGTGGACAAACACATCGAGAATCATACTTATACATGTATGTGACGCAGTATAAACCACTAGAAATGATGAAGCTCCACTTCGAATATCCTGGTGCATTGGTGAATATGTAAGTTGCTGAATGGTCGGTTTAATCGGAGTGACATGTCAGCCATTTTGACGGAGGAAAAACATGGAAAAACTTTGACACCCTATCAACAAGAGATCATTTCTTGGTGGTGGGAGTGAAATAGCCAAGGTTAGCCAGTATTCTCGGATATGTCCTGGCAAGTTCGCTTTGTTCAACGGTTCTTCAGAGCAAGTCCCAACTGGTCGATTTTTTGGCCCCAGAATCGGTTCACACTTTTTTGCATGTTTTATTAAAAGGAAACGATGAACTACTCCTCGAAATCGCAGGATTTTCTGCAGATCACCCTGAGGTGAATGAACTCCAACATTTGCGCAGGAACGATTGAAGTAATGTCAAATGACTGTAAGTGATACAGTACTCATTGACTAACACTTTATAAGATATGACTTGACTAGCAGTTATACAATGTTATACACAAATATCCGTAAATGTAGTCGTATTTCAAAGTCATAAGTCATAAAGGTCCCAGTCACACCGCAGTTACCACTCAGAATCCTCAGACCGCAGGTGCCTTGGTGCAGGAGCGCCCCGTGCTGTGCAAGGACTTGGCATCGGGTCGGAAGCTGCTCGAGAGCAACTGCACAGGCAGCCGAGTTTTTTTTGTGCCGAGCTGTCATCTATGACGTGTCAGATATAGTGGGGATACAATGGGATATATGGGTTCATAGGGTATATATATAATATTATATTATATGTATATATATATATATGTATTTATGTATGTATTCAATATCATATGAGCAACCGACAAAATTATTGTAATACTATGTTAGTTTTTGCTTCGCCTTGGCCTTTCTGAGGTTGCACAAAACCTTCATATCCGATAGGGGACAACCCCATACCGATACCCCATTTGTGATACCTCGGGGACTCATTGTGACAAATTGTTTTGTCCATGAATATTGTGTACAGTAGCGTTATGTAGCCAGTTTCAATTTGTTCGAAGCTTTGTGGCTAGATATCTAAGATTAAGCGGCGGTGCGAAGCCATCAACCTCCAACGTGACTCTGGAAGATGGATTCAACTTCAGCGGCGGTTTTTGCTTCTCCATGTGTCCCGGCAACTTCCCCGTGGAGGCCCAACCTTTTGCTTCCAATTATTTTTATTAATGTACATGTGATACCGAATTTTGAAAACTTTCGGATGTGGGCGCCCTCTTTTGAAGCCCAAAAACATGAAACCCAATACCTAAACACGGTTTCGGTTTCGGCTGCATTTCAGGCGCCTGGATTTGCGAATCCAAGGCATAATCCCAAAATTGGAAGGGATCCAGTATATTATAGACGGTAGGATTACAGTAGTCATATACAATCGTTGTTTAATCTAGTTTTATATACAATGATAATCTAAGTACTTATGGGTACTTATGAACCCTCTTTCCCAAAGAATTTGATGTTTGCAACATGTTGATAATTGATGGGTTTCCTGTAGATTGTGTACCTGAAACATTGTTCCAGGCAGCAAGCCCGAGACCACCCGAATCTTGTGCCCAGCCACGGCTCCGTGTCAATTGGTGTGGTAACTCAGGGGTGAAGTTAGAGATTCGATATGACAACATACTATTATATTATATTTTACTGAATACACATGTGTACAGGAATAACGTGTACTGTATATTATACACGTTATTCCTATATGCATGTGTGTATACAGTATATATCATAATATATGTATATATATATAACATACATATCATTACATGCATATGTATTATATGTCTATTCATTATGCATATCATACATATAATCTGTTTTATCCATTGAGGCCACCAGCACCTCCACCACCACCACCACGACGCTGTCGAGTCTGACGTGCTGCCCCAAAGGCGCAGCTAGGGAGTCAGGCAATGAACAAAGGGATGGCAGTGGGAGTGATAGGGTAGATATATTGAGATTAAGATGTACTGGACTTACCAGCATGTAACATTTGTAAAACTATGTATTATATATATATGTTGTTATTCTTTTTTGGCATATCGTGTGTGGCCATATCACTTTGAGAGAGTTCTTTTGGGGTATGCCGCCTACATATAATATATATTATATATATATTATTAGTGTTCAAGTAACGGGAACAGGTGTCGGAACCAGGAACTATTCATGTTGTTTGGCTTGGGATCCTAAGAGAGTGCAAAGTTAATCTTGGAGATCCCGTTTTCATTTGTTTTCTACATTTGATATGTTATTCCATCATATTAATATTGCTAAGTCCTTGGTGATTGCAGGCTTATTTTTGGGCAGTGCTATGACATGCTGGGTGCATGTGGGTGCCAGCTGCTGGAGGTTTTACCTTAAAGTCGCCTTCCGAGCTGCCCTTGAGTTGCCGACAAGGAACCTGCGAGGCTGATAGCAGTGTCATGTCCACGGAACAGTTTTTATGTGCAGGGTCTGAAACTTTAGGCATGACATTTACATGCCATCGGCAACCCAGACAATCTTCGCGGTTTGGCGATTGGACCTCCATTTTGTAAGGGTCAAAGAGAATCAAAGGTACCCAAAGTCGCAGATGGTCGACATCCATTTTTTTTGAGATGTTCAACTTTGACGCAGGTGCATTGTATTTTCCGATGATGTCACTTTGCTGGTTTTGTTTATTTATATAATATTATAGTTATACATTTACAACTATACAACTATATATAATAGTCCCTTCCCCCTAATAGTAACGCCCCCAAATAATAAACACCTCAGGTAGTTTTTATTATTAGAGGATATGTATTATTAGGGTTCCCCCTAATACTAAATGTTAAACCCTAATATTTGTTTTAAACAAAGAGTTTTTTCTGTTTCAAAATCAATTAAATTTCCTTGTAAAATCTAAATAAAATATTGCCAAAAATTGGATTTCGAAGCTTCCCCCTAATAGTAAATTTTAAACCTTAATATAACAAACTAGTTTGTGTTATTTCAAAATCGATTAGATTTCCTTTTAAAATCTAATTAAAACATTGCCAAAGATTGGATTTCGATGCTTTCCCCTAATATTAGATTAAAAACCTTAATGCAAAATACATTTCTTTTTTCGACCTTAAAAGACGGACCCTAATAAAAAGCACCCCGGGGTTGACTAGTTTTTATTATTATGGGGTGAAACCCTTAAATGGTAGCTTCACTTTTAAATTGTGTTCTAAAGGGGATCAATTAAAAATCAAATTGGCCAACTTCAAATTTTCCCAAATTGGAGACTGACCCTAGTTTATGTTTTTTTTGGGGGGTTTAGTAATAGGGGAAGGGATTATATTATATATTCGCATAATTTCACATACATATTTATAATTTGTTCTTATAATATAAAAGTTATTATCGACATATACGTCAATATTTTTATATTCACATATATTCATATTTTTTTTAAATATGTACATATCACCAATTCTTATTATGGCAAATATCTGAAAAAAATGGTCCCAGGTGACCTGGCCCAGCCACAAAGCTTTTACCCACAGAACCTGTTAAATATAAAACCTACACATACTTTCGCACAGATGCTTTCACGTAGTTCCCCTGCCGGATCCACTAGATGTCATGTTTTTTTCTTCACATACTGGAGATAGCTATTAAAATGATGTGTGTATCTATCTTTCTTTATAGACATCCATACTTATATATTATAACATATTATAAATATGAATAATATATATATATATACATTATATAATATATATATATACATTTATTTATATGTATGTATATAAACTATAAACATATACACAACCACCAAACAACGAGATGGTTCAATACTAAATATCACCCACCATTTTTGAGCCGCCCCTCTTTTTTGGTCAGGTGGAGACGTGCTGCTCCATGGCCAAATGGGTCTACGACGACTGGGATGAGACGCCGGTGCCATGGCCATGACATGCCCACGATGGGGCGAAGCTTTGGAAGACTGAAATTGTTTTAGATGATTGATCCAATTGTCGTATTGATAGCGTCTCATAATGTTTCATAGCTACGGCTTGTCCATCTACAGTATGATATATCTTTGCAATTGTTTTCATATGTTTGCATCATGCAATGTAATATGCACATGTGTTATCATTATCCATATATAACTATATATATATATGTGTACATTGAGGATTTACATAGATTTACAGCTATCGAATTTCATGACTCCAGCGACATGTTTCCCCCCGAAAAAATCCCAACATCCCTTTGCAATCTGGCACAAGGAATGCGACCAGAGCTGCGGTCTGGCTGAGCAGATTCAAGAACGATCTGTCAGTTGCCAGGCGATCTACGGCGGAGAGCTGCTGATGCTCGGCCAGCTCGGTTGAGCGGCGAAGGCCCAAGGCCCAAGGCCCAAAGTTTTTAGACTCTGTGGCTACTCAGTAGCTACTGGCAGAAGTTGGTGAAGCCGAAAAATATCAATGAACCAACAGAGCTGTGAAGCCATGTGAATTGACGGCATAATTATGCATAGTTACTGTAATACTGTAATTCAACAAGGAAGAAGTTCTTTCAAAGACCAAGTGAATCTGAATATCACCAAGCATGATGATGGTGTCACGCCTGGCTGGTGGTTTGATCATATTTAACCTATAATTCTATCATAGGATGGCAAACTTGAGATATTACTTGGCATTGGGATGGCTATATGACAAGGAAGTTGCTGGAATCTATGCCAAATTCAACGCAAAAGATGCAGAAACTGGCAAAAGGTCGGTGGTTTGATGTGCGCCTGGAGAAGTTTCCACGATATTGTGTGCAGAAAACATGGCTAGATAGTCGGGTAATGTTTTTCTTTATCGATAAACTGTAAATAGATGTATTGGTCAACGCATTGATCAATTTTTGGATGATGGTGAGCTAACTAGATAAATTCCGCATGTACCCTATGTAATTGGCAATCCGTTGGTCAATGTTGCATCCTGTTTTTTTTTGGGGGGGGATATATGAATTTCATAAATGGATAGATTGATGAACCTTTTCAATGCCCAGGAACGACGCTCTGTGCAGCGGAGCCGCGCCAAGTCGCCAGCGCAGCCTTTGTCCGGCCACTGAGCCGTGCGCCAGCTGCGCAGGCAATGGATGTGCATCCGGTTATTTCCGGGGGATACGGTCAACAAAAACGCTGGGGAACAACTTATGATATTATTAATAAACCAAGAGGAAAGGGGAAAAAATCCAAACAAAAATGGGGATTCCAAAGATATTCTGCTCAATGAATTTGCTTCAAAATGGCAACAACTCAAGTGGGACTAAACCGCAAAAAGATGGTGACATTCCATGGGATGTAACGGGGATATAACCAACAAGGATGGGCACCCTAAAGTGGCACCATAGGTCTTGGGTGATCAAAGGAGCCAGTGATCTAACTCAAATTTCAGCTCAATGAGGAGCTAACGAGTCCCAAGTGTTCAGGAAAACTATTGTAAATCATGGCAAGTAAATAATGAGGTTTTGAGGCCCACAAGTTGGAACATACAAACAGAAGTGGGAGTGAATCTAACGGAATCAGGGATAAGTCTGACAGAAAGGGCAATATATATATATAGGGCAATATACTCAATGCATTTTCATTAATCATCCCCGTGTTCCCATATTAGTATGTATATGTTACATATGTATATATGCGTGTGTTTTTGAGTTGTAGATAGATGTGCATAATGCAAACAATCTCAAGCATGTATCTATCTATATGCATGCACACATATGACAGAATAAGCACAGCCCAAGGGAAAAAGGCCACTTCTCGTCCTTTTTCGGCAGATCCGAGTGGCTGATTTGAAAGAAAAACCTGCAGAGTTCCCTTAAACCAATCTCGGTTCGATACGATTAAATTACAACTTGTGATGGTTTAGTATATATATTATATATATATAAATATATATATATTCTATATATATATATAAATATATAAAAATAAATAAATATATATATATATATATATGTATGAAAACAAATCTCCATGGCCAGGGGTTTCCGCTGCAATGCTTGCAGGCTTCGTTTGCGGGGATGATGCGCTGCCTGTGCTGCCCCCACCTCCCTGTGCTGATGGCGTGTGTGAGAGCTTGGGTGCTCAGAACAAGACCTCTCCTCCACAACATGATGCCGTGATTCTCATCGTTTTTTGATATTTTTTTTTTTTTGGGGTGCATTATATAATTTGGGTTTGTCAACTTTTTGAACAGACTCTTTTTGAACAGACTCTTGGAGTTTGGAGACCAAGAAAAACAAATGGAACCATCATTTGGCTAGCCACCTTTTGGCACCCAGTTTTTGAGCATTGATGATCGTAATCAATTCCCTCATACGTGTCGTGTCGCTAAAAAAGGGTGCATTATGTGCTTGAGCATCGCCCTCGTGGCTAATCCGCTGTCCATCATCATCATCATCTTTAAGATCATCATCCTTCTTTTCCTCCTCCTCCTTCTCCTCCTCCCCGTCCATCAGCACCATCACCATCATTACTATCGCCATTATCACCATGACCATCACTGTTTCGTTGTAGCATTCCCACTTTCATTGTTGCTGTGCGCTGTGCCATTTGTGACCGGCTTCTCTTGGTCAACATGGGCCAAGCCCTTTCTGTAGTTGTCCCTTTCCGATTCGTGGTATGATGAACAGAGACATTAACCCCAAATTGAATAACGGATAGGTAAATGATGACACTCGGAAACCTAAACGCGCAAACCCTAAAACCATCTATGGAACATTATGGAACCAATATTCTTGAACCCTAAAATACAATCTTGGAAACCTTTGCGGTGATGTTGGGCGAAATGAGGTGTTTGGCGCATACACACACATATATATATATATACTTACCAAACCAATCTCGCACATTTTTCCCAACAGGACAGTGTTGCGCGTGCCAAGCCCACCGAGGCCTCCAGTGCTGTCGCAAGTTCCTGAGTGGTTTTCACACGCAGCCGGATGCCTCGGTCCTCGCAGCCACTTGGCAAACATGACCGGGTTAAAGACCCAAGCATTGGAGGGGTTTTCTATATGTTTTTCGAGTGGGTTCTACATCCACCCGTCCTATAGATTAGCAACCGGGGCGCCGAAAGTTTCAATCCATTTGCCAACTTCGAGTCGCTCATTTGATGGAATGTTTATCCACAATTTATATTTTCATTCCCAAGATTTAGCCACATGTAGGTGAACATGCCAGCATCATTCTCCCTGACTTGGGGAAAAAAACAGCAGGTTGCGAATGAAGGTCATCGCGGTGGCACCTTGAAGTTCCAGGGTGAGGCTCCTCAACTTTCCGACGGAGGACACTTCTTCCAACTGAACGGTGAAACCAGTATGGACCTCTTGACGCCTTCGGTGCATAATGGCTTCACAGTCGGGTGCTTGGATTTGGCAGAGCGTTGCGATGTGAGTTGTGTCATCATCAAATTCTTTTGAGGACGTTAAACGTATCAAACAACATATAAACAGATGGCAAATGTAGTGTAGCCCCACTAATTTCATACAAAGTCAAAAAGGGATACAAACCAGTTGCTCTGGCAGTTAGACATGTACTGAACTTAGTCGACCCCTCAACTGGTCGATGTCGTGCAAAGAAATTGTTTTTACCTTCAAGTTGAGTTCCAACACAGCTGTGAGCACTGCCAGCTTCCAGCTTCCAGCCAAGGGAGGATTTTGTTGAGCAGCAAACTGAGGCTTTAGTCTACTTAAGACCCCATGCCGAAGCTTGGGTTGACAAGGACTGGCTGGCTGCCTTTGTCATGCGGGACTCCATGTCCCTGAAGCATTAGGGTGACCCTGCCAGCCCTGCCACACAGGAGCAAGAAGTACTCGTGCAGAAAGGCTGAAACCAGGGCAGGGACTTGCCATGAGCCCTTCCATTTCAGAGAGAAATCATAGGATCTTAGAGGCACCAGTCAATGTATCTCTCACGCTGCCCGCCTCTCTCTCTCTCTCCCTCTTTGTGTGCATATATGAGATTAGATGAGTATGATTGAGTATGTATAGTGTGTGTATGCTGTGTATATATATATATATTATTTATTTATTTATTTATTTATGTATTTATTTATTTATTCATTTATTTATTTATTTATTTATTTATTTATTTATTTATGTGTTTATTTGTATACTATATTATGTATGTGTGTGTAAGATATATGTAAGTGTGGTGCGTGTATGTGCATGCACTCGTATAATGTATTATTATATTTGTAAACGCCTCACAACCTCAGGCTCCCGTTAGTTTGCGGACTAGTAGCACGAAACCCTCCTGTTTTGGGGTTCAGCGTTTGACAAGAGAATTATGCAGACGATTCTGAAGATGAGAGAAGGGCGCGGAGGTGAATTGGACTCGCTAAGTGTACAAAGAGGAAGGTCAATGTGTTGTACTGTACATGGTACTGCTTCTTGCTCTAAGGGAGTTTGTTGATTTTCCGTTCGAATCATGGAATGATGATCCCAATTGATTTTTCATGTTTTGGGTGGCTACAGCACCAGGGAGGTTATATTGCCGGATTGCCCCGAGCTGTGTGCTTCCACGAGACCTATTTTCACTCTTCAATACTCTTCACGATTTGTGGAGAGAGAATATTGATTGAGATTTCTGCAGCAGCTGGTGCCATCTACCAAAAAATCTAAAGACACCTTAGAACCCTCTTGTCTTGAAAAACAAACTGGGCCACGACAGCTTCAAATGTCTAAAAGAATTATAGTTTTCCCATCATTTCCAGAGGATGGGTGCCTTTAAAGTCCAAACGGCTCGCTTGACCTCCCCAGCAACGAGACCCTACGCGAGCTCGCGCGAAAAGGTGTGGACGGTGACTTGTGGAAGCTCGTTTTGACGCCCATGAAGCAGCCTCTTGGACGGGGCGGTGGTGGCAGGTGCTTCAAATCTGCTGATGGATTACCCCTTTGTTGTTGACTTAGATCTAGGTAGGCCTCAACCGTTTTTTGGTTTGGAGGGGGAGGAGAGGGGGGAAGCGATGAATCTCGACTAGATGGGAAAGTGCTGAGACATTTGGAGCTGTTTTGAATTTGGTAGACTATGGAACACATGGAAAATTGGAGGGATGTTTGGCCATTGTTCCATGTTTAAACTGTTGATGTTTATATATTGAGTTTTAGTACTGTCTAGAACAGTATAAGATTTATGAAACCAGAATTTGGGTGATGCGGGACTGTGGGATTGCATTTATGAATCGATTTGGAATATTCCACAGGTCCTTCAGGTGATACTGGGACGCTCCAAAATCATAGCAGTGGTCATTTTTGGAGGGGCATCCCCATGGTGTGAAACACCCAAAGGAAAAAGAACACCTTGCCGCAGCCAATCTTCATCTACACCATCCGGTAATCATGGCTGGAATATCCCAGAACTATATATATAAATCTATAAAGTATGAAGGTTTTAATGACAACATCTACCCTCTGGTAAACGTTTACATAGCTATTGAAAATGGCCATGTATAGTGAGTTTTCCCATTAAAAATGGTGATTTTCCATAGTTATGTTAGTTTACCAGAGGGTATAAATTGGGGATGTTCCAGCCGGCAAAGCGTTTGATGACCAGCCAGTGGCTTCCCCCATTTCGTATGTTGAGGTTTCGCATCTACAGCTTCAAGGCCAGGGTTTTTTTGGGGCGTTACAATAGGTGTGTACTTTTGGTTAATTTTTATTGTGAGGAATTTTCAATACTAACAAACAAGCCAATACCCTCTGGTAAACTAACAAAACTATGGGAAATCATCTTTTAATGGGTAAATCCACTATTTCTATGGCCATTGTCAATAGCTAGTTTACCAGGGGGTAATACCAATCATTAATCGAATCAACCGTTTTTTGCTGTTCGCTTAGGATGTTCCATCTAAAAATGTGATGACGATCTCAATTGACTGACGCATTTGGCGCGTCTGTGGGGTGGATTAAGGTCACCAACTGCGCGATGGGCCTTGGTGAAGCATCACTTGTGACTGCTTACAATGCAGAGAAAGTAAATGCAAGTGATTTAATATACAGGTAGGTATTGTTTATTGGTATTGCTATGTTTAATAGGGACCTAAGGAGCTATGGGCTATGGGTATTCATATCCCCTTTTTCCATGAGGAGCCAAAGCCCATCCATATGATAGAATATGATAGATGAGAGCAATTTTTGGGTTCCGCCAGACTGGGCGCAACCAGTGACTTGGGATCGTGTCGCTTGGTTCTCCGCCAGAATGCGATGATGTCGCCATCATCCTGCACCTGCGCATCGGTCCATGAGGCTGTTTGGTCTCACGTGATGGCCCCCTGGCCCTTGGTGATTCTAAGGGGGTGATGGAACCACTGCTGGTGACATGCCATGGTATGCCATGGCCGTCGAGGCTTCAAACTGAATCCTTCTTGAGCAAAACAGAAGCATTTTGATGCAATGATCCTGGAAGTAGAAATAGCCATCCTCAGTTTTGACTTGCTAGCTATGGAAAATCAGTAATATGATATGTCTAAAATCATGTACGTATATGTGTATATATATAATTAATATAAATGGGCAACGTTCATCTATTGTCCATGGCTATGTTAAAACTACGCAGCGTACTGATGGAGTTCTCTGTTTTATGCAAGTGACATGGGAAATCTTGGGACGGTTGAACATCATCCCCTGGGGAGCGGTATACATGAACCAATGACATAAGCCCAAGCTGAGGATGATGTACATTGTGTACATATTATATCATATTATCAAGTCTTCCTCATGTGTGATATAAGTTTCAACATGTTTCAACATACAGAAGTCAAAGGCACAAACTGCAATACTGACACATGAAAAACTGCACTGCTCTACTGAATGGCTGACGGTTTTGAGCATTTATCGCCGTAAAGTGTGTAATTAATCCTAAAGATCACCAGTGGATGATGTGGATGAGGCTCTAGCAGCGTTGCCTAGGTCCGTGACAACAGCAGCCGCATGGATTTGGTGATCAATGGCAAGTCTTGTTGCGAGCCTTGGGCTGTCAATGACCCCACAAAGGTGTAGCTTTGCCATGGATACTTGCACTCGTGCAGTCCTGGGAGCCACTCACATATTCAAGTGGCAAGAAATTGTAATGATACTTTACAGCGACCGTGTTGACAAAAGATTATGGTTAAGGGTTAACATTGTTGCAACCATCAAATATGGCCTTAAATCCGGCATGTATTCTCCACAAAGAAATTCATGACCACCATTCGAGAGTGAACTGGCAGTGCTGCTAATCCAAGTCAAATAGCGGCTGGCGACCATGGCTAGAAAGTTCCATCGCTAGGCTTATCCCCCAAAAAACTGCGGGCATTGAAAACACATGTTATTTCTACCAAAAAAAAACATCCTATAATTCAACATGGCTGGGAAATCCCCCATACATCGAGTTTGAGAGCTCCTGTTGGTCTAACAACTGGGGGCAAGTCATTTGTTCAAATCTGGTCTGTAAAAGCTTTGGCAAATGCACATCCAGTCCCAAGTTTTTCAGTGGCATGTGGCCTCTAAATGACGGGGAAAAAACCCTGGTACCCTGGTGAAATCTGAACATCGAAGCTGGTAAACCGATGTCGGATGTTGGTCCCTCAAATGGCTTGGCAACCAAGGGCACTTCATCCAGCGTACGAACTACCAGCAGCCTCTTGCTGAAAAAAATGTTTGTCGTTAAATCAAAGGCAGAGATCTGAAAAGTCTGAAATGCCACCCCTAGATGAATGGTGACCATTTTTCCTTCTCATTGGATATGATGTGATGATGTGATTCATAGAGCAATTGATCATCATTTTGGGGGGGTGTTGACACCTTAGTCTATCGGGCTTCCCGACTTGATCAGGTGAGGTTATCCTCCGGTATTCAAACATGGCTTGCTGGAAAATCCACCATTTTTACAGCTGATTTTCCCACTACAACTTCCATTTACATAGGGTGTTCACTTGCGATGTTTGATTACTAGAGGGTAGGTGGGCTTATTTGATCTTATTTGCACATCCCATCTACGAGTGGATTACAGTATAACATAGTATAACTGTAAAATCTGTAAACATGGCTTAGCACAGCACGAGGCTGGGATACACATCCAAATCATCCAAGTAGCCTCCCCATGTTCGAGGCGGTTCCAGCATTTGGTTGGAAGAAGGGCTTCAAGCAGATCTACACTCAGCGCTTCGACTGAGCTAAGTTGTGGTCGCTAGCGAGGGTTTATTCATGTCTATCTTGACCCGGGGGTGTTGTGGATAAATGTTCCTTCGATTTCTTTCAATCTTTTCCTGAAAATACGGATAATTAATAGGGCTTCAGTAGGGCAACCCAAAAATTCAGTGCTTCAGTCATCGTTTTCGCCATCCAAATGCTACTTCTGGGGGTCCCCGTTTCCGCAGGTAGAGATCTGGGATGTCGCCCCTTGGCCGTGAACACGCCAAGTGTGACGGAAAATCTCATGTGGGTCATCATATTGGATGGCCCGTATCACCGTATCCATGGTTTTGACCATGGCTTACTATATTTGGCATTTGCAGCCGTTTGTTTTTGTTGATGATTATTTGACATTCCCAGCGATTGTTCTGAGTGAAAACACTTCAAATTGTGCAGTTTGTTCGCGTGCTGTAAGTTTTTGGCTTTGGGCTTTGTCTGAGAATAGGGTACTCCAAAATCCTGCGATTTATCATCTTGTTTCCTATTCAAATGGCCACTCGGGAGTGCCCCCATTTTCAGTCAAACGCAATTGCACGGGAAACAAATACACAACAAAAAAGAACTGAACTCATCGAGAAGGCAATGGGAAGAACATGCAGTGCCATCAGCGAACTGTCGGCAAGAGTACTGGAATGACAATGAACATGCCATGGCATGCCACATAATTATTTGGAGAAATAGGGTGCTCCCATCATCCTTACAAGGTGGACTGTCTGGAAAGTTAACATAGCTATAGAATTTCAACATGTTTCAATGGATCAATAGGTAAATTATCCACACATGGGAAATTTTCCATATCGATCTTAATCTACTGGAGGGTATGTGTCCATGTTCCGTGCATTTTTTCCGCAGGCTTTGAACGACCAGGATGTGGAGTCTGTGACCCGCCGTTATCACAAGGCGTGGCTGCTGTTTGAGGGTTTAAAGGTTTGAGAAGGCCTTCGTGATACTTGCTTGTGGTGGAGCAAACTGGGGGTAGTTGCCTTGAAGTGACGTGGTTGTAGAAGAGGGAATCCCTAGTTCAGGATTGAAGGAGGACCAGCAATTGCAAGGGGGACAACTGTAATGTTTTTCTGACTGCAGAAGGCAACGCATGATTCTCACATGTTGACTTTAGGCAATGTGACGTATTCTTTTAGCACAGTATTCAGACTCGGGTCAGTCTGCAACGCATCAAGGCGTGCCAAGGCTTTCCTGCCGCGCGAACACCTGAAATCTCAGATCCTGAGTATACATTACATAGGCTTGTCTGAAAAACAACATATGCCAAACCAGTGGTTCATCAATCATCCATGTGTCCATCAAACTGCAATTTTGGAGAGTAATGCCAGAAGGTCTAGAGCCATAAGAAGGTTTTCACCCCCAAATAATGAGCAGCAAAAACAAAAATGGAATTCATGAGGTGTGTCTTTTGAATCTAAGGATGATAAGTAAGGATTTCAATTGAAAACAAATTATTTTCAATTGATGTTCCTTTTAAATCTAAATTATATCAATTTATGGCCAGGGGGGCTGAGGGTGTTATCTAATTGGGGGTGCACATGCACATTATTTGGTGGGGACAACCCAACTAAAAGGGGTACCTTGTAAGAGCTTCTCAAAATGCAATTTGTGAATTAATAAATTTAATAAGGAATATGACTATACAGATGTTTTCAATCAGAAATCTTGGGATTTTCCTAGATTTGGGTGATTCTGTGCCTTGAATCCTTGAATCTCTACAATATATCTATATTATTCTATATTACTCTATATGACAATAATATACATATTTACATGTATATATATATGTGTGTGTGTATTGACATAACTATAAGCATTTCCCCCGTTGACTTTGAACTATCAGGTCAGAAACATCAGAACCAAATCACTTTCTCACCAAAAAAACAGAATTTTCCAGAAGGGTGTTTTTTAATAGGGAGTGACCACCCATGCTGATTAATAGGGAGTGACCAACCCCAAGTAGTATTGCCAAACATTTTTGTGGACTTGGGTGTTGATCAATCCGGGCTGCTTATTATATGATATGAACTTAACATTATGCCGTATGCCCATTTTCAGACATCTTCATATAGATTCTTGTATTTGGATGTTTTTGGGGTCTTCAGTTTCGTATAGCAAGAGTTGCGATCACCATGACGCGAAAAAGATGGAGGGCATCAGCCGTCATAATTTTAAACCATGTGAGCCTGTCTTCGGACGCAAGTGATTTGTGGGATATGTATGGATATGTTTTGATTCTTTGTTAGGTCCCTGCTCAAAAGATTCTAAGGTTTCGGTGAGCACTGTTCCCAGGAAGGGTTTCACAGTTTCACATACAAGTAGCAGGATCCCCCCAACGATCCCCAATGTCTACTGATTAATCTATATGGTTGGGAAACCCATTCGTAGCTCCTTGGCTCCCCATTTAATCGATTTTCATAGGGAATCTGATTTACCCAAACCGCTCCAAACCGCTCTGAAACAGCCATCCCATGAACTCAACTGCAGGCCATCCCTGATTGGTTGCCCTTCCGTCATTTGAGCTGCACAGATGAGGATCCCCTGGAGCTTCTCACAGGCGGATCCGGGGCCATCATCCCACCTCATCCCATTGATAATGAACGCCCTTATTATTTTAGGGACCCGAAGAGAAGATAGAGTAATAATTTATAATGATTTATATTATATGGGGTTATCACTAGACTTATATATTTATAACATTTAGTATTGCAGCAGGATTTAGGATATGTTACTGTTCTATTTGTTTGGGAGGTGCTATGTTTGAGGGAACCCAAGTCTAAGCTGAAGGGGTGCGTTTGCAAGCATGTGTGCCGACCAGGAACTGCGATGAGCAACATTGGGAGGTTGCTAGACACCATGGCTACTGCCTTTGAAAGGAGAACATCAAAGCTGGTCTTGGAAATCAGATATCGGCACAACCAAATGAAGCCCCACACCCCCAAAGTTGATGGTTTCTTACCATGTTCATCAAGTTTCCCCATTCAAGATGCAAATTTAATCCATTTTAGGGATATCCAGGATATCCCCATTTTGAGACACACCCATATATGGGATGGGCTGAAGGCACGCCGCAACGCCGAAGGTATTTCCAGCCTGGCTCACTGCAAGCTTCGCTGTGAGGCACACCTTGGCAGCTGCCGTTCCGTATTGCACCTCGGTGTCATCAAAGATGGCGGAGAAATGGCTCAGGGTGGCACCCCCAAGCTATAAGTTGGTTAAACGTTTATAATTGCCATTATATAAACCCCCAACCGGAGTTAGAGTTTTGAACCAACTTAGCTAACCATGGGGACCATGTTATGCAACTCTCTGTTAAAGATGGTGATCTAAGAGGACGTTCCCTTTTTCAATGGAGGTTTATAGCTGGGAAAATCTTGAAACCAAATAAAGGATTCTCTCCATTGCAATTTTTGCTAGCCGGCGGGAAATCATCAATAACATATCGATCATCTGGATGATTATTTCTTCGTATGGCTGAAATGATGATATGCATAGTCTAGAAGATGATCATCAATGTGGAATTGTGGAATCATTGTTTTTTTTGGATTATTGTGACTTGATAGTTTTGAATTTGATTTGACAAGTTCTGATTGATAGTTACTCCAGGATTATTGAGTCCCTAGTTTGTGTATTTGGCTATGGCCGTTGATGGCTTTTGGGATATTGTCCCTGTCCATTATTGATCAAACAGGCCCAACCAGCTTTGCTGCCTTGGCATGCCAGATGGGATATCCTTTTTAAATCTTTTTTAAACAGGACAATCACCCACTTTTATGTGAGATTTCTAGCTCGCCGGTGACCGGTGATTTGTTGGTGAAATTCCACATTGTTTGCTCCTTAAATAATTCTAAATCACATTTTTTGTGCTAAATTCCTAATTTTTATTGATAAAGTTACTCCCTCGTCAAATAAATCACCGGTTTTGCAGGTTCACAACTGGCATCTCAGTGGGGGCCAGGTTTGACGTGTCCCAGTCCCGTTGTTTGCTGCGAAGTCGTTTCGCTTGCACCAGCTGTGGAGAGCGGGGTCCCCAGGGGTGGAGATTCCCTATTCGGGAGCCAAGGAGCTAGAGTTTCCCAACCATATGATTATATCATTATGTTATCAAATGGCCATGGGGTATACCGGGGATACCCAATTTCAGACACACCCATATAATATGATATAGACCGGCAATAAAACATGCATCCTTCATGTTTTCATGTTCTTGCTATCCCAAAACCCAAAAGCAATCCCTTTTCACTGGATTTGGTGAACAAGGGGATGGCAGCAGGCTTTTCCAGGCTTTTCCGTTTGTTTGTTTCCAGTCAAATTACTGGTGCAGTAGATTTTCCCTTGAAGCACTTCAGGGACTGAAACAACCATGGCTGGGTTGAAGCCACCACAACTTCAAAATATGTGTTCAGATTTTGCTTATTTTCCATTTGGTAATCCAACAATTTGCTATGGAAAACAACCAGTTCCCACAGGCAAATTATCTACAAACGCGCCAGTTTCAATAGCAAACCTTTAGATTACCAGAAGGTAATATCTCAATATATCTCATTCATTCCAGTTATATCAAGTGTTAAGTTATATCCCATGATGGTTGCTTAATGCAACAAGTCTCTTTTGGCATCCCATATGTTGGATGACCAGAGGCCTCATCGCCCAGGTGCGCTCGAAGTGTTCAGTCCTTGGCTGCCAACTACGACGACGGCTGTCGAAAGATGCTGGGGCACTACTTGGGCCGCGGGCCACGGGAAATAAAAATTGTCCATGCCAAGGAATCCTTGGATCTAGGCTTTGGCTGAAAATCGAGTAGCCTTGAATTGCCTTGAATCCATTGGTTTATACTGATTTAATGTAATCCAATACATGGTTATATACTTTTTGAAATAATCATCGTAGCTATTGAAATTGCTATTTGGGGATGTACCACATTTTCAGACCCATTTGCTATTCCAAACTCTTTAGTTCTTCAACATCAATGTTGAGTCTGGTTAATGAAAGCTTTTCAGGCCCAGAAGGGTGTTGCTTTCCTTTCCTACAGTTCAACATGCTTCAAACAATTTTTGTTTGTCTGAAAATAGGGTACCCCGATTTTTGATGGTTAACCGATTTATCATCGTGTTCCGCACGCGTTTGGAGAGATACCCCACTTTCAGGTCCAGTCTCACATATCATACTGTTTGCGAGATATTCCCATCATAGTATGCCCATTGTATTCCCGTTATATTGGCCCATTTACTCTAATTAACCACTATTAACATGAACATGTATTATAACAACTATTAGCCAGTATTAGCCATTATTTTCCATTCCTAATCAGTGTTAACCACTATACTATATTAGTAGGCATTTTCTGTGCCATGTTTCCAAATTATTCACCATTCATCAACATTACAATCTCCCGATATAAACCTGGCGACTCTCCAGGAACGGCGCCTTTGACTGGCGACTCTCGGTGACCTTAGCCACTTGGCATCACTTGGCATCACTTGGATCACTTGGCACAGGGCGACCTGAGGACCTGGCCAGTTTCAGAAAGGGCTTGACACATATAATCCATAACAAGGGATATCCATTTCTTTTAGGACGAGATGCTATGATATATTATGATATATTATGATACTTATCCATACTTGTCCATTTTTTAGGAAGGAATGCTATGAGAGGGAGTAATCCATAATATGGGTTATAGTAGTAATTATCCACTCATAAATGGAACTGCCGGAGTAGGGCTTAATCCATACCCATGATGGGATGGATTCCCATGGGATGGCTATAACAGGCTATCACCTACCATGACCTTGCCACGAAGCAGCTGATTTTTCGGGTGCATCCCAGTGAGTTGTTTTGTGCCAACTGGGGATTTGACAAAAAATGAAGCTGCAAGAATTCCTGTGTATAGCTGGGCCAACCGGCCAGGTGGGTATAATTAGTGTACTTTAACATACTTGAACCGTTTCCTATTTTTTCATGGGGATGTATACTAATCAGCGTTTAACCCAAAAACAACCTCTTGCAGGCCATCTAAAATTGGCCATGATATTGCCATCCACTCAAAGAATAGACCCCGACAACCGCATCCCAATTTTCGGAAGGTAGTCGTCCAACCCCAACTCATGACAAACTCGCTGGGGATAGGAAGAAGCCATATATTGTAGCGGATATATGTGGTGGAAGTTGCCTGCAATAGTAAAGATTGGTCGGTTGTGGTTCCGGGTGAAAGCTGTGCCCACACTAATTCATGGAAGTTTTCATGTTGTTCTGATTGTGCTTGTTGAAGTGGCGTGAAATGGTTACTATGCTGACTTGACTGGACCGGCAAATTTTAATCTCACACTGCAGTTCGCGAGAAGAAGCAGGAAACATGTTTAACTGTCGGAAGTAGACATGCCCTCCGGTAATTTAACATAGCTCTGGTATAGATGGCCCATTTTGTTCGATGATTTACCTGTGAAACATCGTGATTTATCCAGTTCGCAAACTATTTGTCACCAGAGGGCATCACCAGTAGGGCAAAACCGTGCCGCTGTGGAACTCGGGGGTGCAACCAAGGAGAAGACAGTTCGAGTCACAGAGCTGACGTTTCTGGACGAAGATCAGCGTCAAATCCATGCAGACACCATGACCCTTGGGTTTGATAACCCGAAGCTGCCAAATGATGGGGTCGATGTTTCATATTTCCATGAAATTGAATGCGATTCACCGACACATTGAGTTTGTCTCAAAGTCTTGGATAATACCAGGCAATGTTTGACCAAAATATGGCCCACTTTGACGGAGCCTTATTTCCAAGGACAAAATCCAGCAACTCCAATAGGGTCGGTGGCCCAACATTCCGATGACCCACAGTATTTCCACATCTTCCACTACGCATCCCTGCAGCCACAGACGGGTCCCCGTTTCAATAAATATTTGGATTAAGTTAAGATATGTTAAGACTAGTTAAGTGGAGATCAGACGTGGCTTGGCAAGTGCCCCAGCTGTATCAACGAATTGGTTTAAGAATGTTTAAGGGAACATCTACAGGAAACCACGTGTTTTACTTGGTTTTTACATTGTTTTTACATGTTTTTACATGTTTTGACCATCAACTATCCAGTAATCTTTCCGTGAACCAATCCAATGCCTGTACCAGTGATTGTTGGGCCAAGGACAGATGGGGGCTTGCAAGCACTGGACCCAAGCTGCTGCTTGGCTTAGCACCTTTGGTGCTGCGGCCTTTAGGGTGGAAACGCCAAAAAAGGCTTTCTTTTCTCAGGGGACAATACAGGGGTTTCGAATGATAAGAATGTATCCGCTTTTAGCTGGATTCCTGTGTATATATATAATTATATATATATATATATTATAAATAAATGTATATATATATTATTGCTATCCATTTAGAATCATTTAGATATAAATATATATATAGACTTGTTTGCTCCTCAGAGGAATGATTCCACGATGTTGCAGCATTTGCATGTTTGGAGCACTTCGCAAATGGTGATCCGGGGTCCAGCAGAGCTAAGAAAAGATAGAAACGACTCACTACCGGGATTCTTGTTGAAACCGCACATGTGGCGAATCGCCAAGGGAAAACAGTGTGAACATGTGTGAACCAACTTTGAATAATAGAAGAATTATGCGAATCACGCAGGCATATAATTGTCATATATACCTGGATCATCGAAAGGACAAATAATTGTCCGTTTGCAGGATTTCTGCCCTTAGGGCGGAATTCTTGTGAAGGACCTGGACATGGTCATTTTTTGACTTGTATTTGGCACCTTTTCAGCTGCCCTTACTTTACTCTGCATAAACATATGTCCTTTTTTTCCTTGGCGGAAATTCCCGGGAAAAGAACGGCCATAACCCGAAAAGAGCGGAAATATCCAGGCAGAGTCAACATGACGAAAAATGAAAATATGAGGTGGCAATGTTTTTGTTTGTTGTTTTTGTTTTCTTCGAAATTGTCTTTTAAAAAAACTGTCAAATCGTATTTTCCCGCTTGGAAGGGTGGTTGAAAATGTGTCGAACCGACTCACGAGATGAAGGTCTTGTCGAAATGCAGCCAGGCGCTTTAAGCGATTGGAAGACCAGCGGACCGGGAGACTTGGCCGTGGGCATGGTGGCCCATCGGGATTAGCCAAAATACATAGCAGATGATTGGTTGATACTCTCAGGGTGATGCAGAGAGAAATTGATTTGTGCTATATATGTAATTTGTGTTTAGTAAATGTGCTTTATCATGACGATAATCATGATTCATTAGTTAGATTGGCAATCTTATAATTTGGGGACCCCTTCCAATGTAAATCCATTGGGATATATATATATATAACTATATATATATGTATCATTTATCATATGCAATGGGACGTAGTGATAAAATGCAGGTATATGAAGGTAACGGTATAAACATCAATCATAAGAACATGTGGGGTTCAACCAACCATTTATGTGGATATACTAGTATGCCTGATAGACCTTAACATAGGTCTTGCACCTCTGGAAGGCAAGACGTATTTCCACATTCCACAACGTATGTTTTTTCCTGAAAGCACCCCATCACATACATCGAGAGTTTCCCCATGGCCCCTGTCGCCACTGCACGTCTCAGGATGTGCTATCCCCCACGGAAATGGCTTCTGGGAGTACAGGCCACTGAGAGGAATCAACTAGGATCACTTGGGTTACCTATATATATCCATAGCAGATACAACATGGATATCATTGAGTACATTGGGTCCAAATATGTCCAAATCAATAGATGCACGTTCAGAGTTAAGCAATCTTGCCGGCACTGAGTATTTTGCTTTGAGTGGCAGCAGCAGACCTGCTGAACATGAATGTTTCAATATATATATAGTTATTATAGTAACTTGTCGTTTTCCTTTTTTCTCCACCCTGAGTCTCATGCTGAAAGCTACTGAAATGATCTTCATGACAACGTGTTCTTCTCGCCCTGAAACCAGGTTCAAGAAGTGCATGAACCCAACCTACCTGGTCATGGCGGTCAAGGACAGCTGTTTGAAGAGAGAATCGCTATGCAGGCTGCCTATCCGCCATTTTGCCTTATTTGTTGTTGGCTTGGCCAATTTGTCAAAGCAACGTCTGGCGACCTTGGTCACCCAGGATGTGATGTTCAACCCAATTTCAAGAAGAAAAAGTTGAAGGGAGACATTGGCCATGTGGCCCCTGCAAGCCCATGGTCCCATGCTGTGTGAACAGGAGGGCGACCTCCCTCCCAATTTTCCAGTGAAGATTCGCTACTCCACCGCTGCGGGCGAGTGGATGGAGTGACCCTTGATAGCATGGTGTTTGACCAGCCATGAGCCATGATTGTAATTCCTGTAAGATCAAATGATCAAGGCTGGTTAGGTGTGCGGGTCTCCTGCGATTCTGGGCAAATCCGACTTTACGAGCGATCAGTAGCAAATATAAGTGGCGGAAACATGTCAAATGTTTGATCACACGAGCATGGTTTTCCTTAGTGGGTGTTTGACGGTAGCCCATCATTGCTTATTGGCATTTTCAAATCTTAAAGCCACCATTTTTGTTGCTGGTTCCCATTGATGCTATGGTTTGCTATGGTAATGTAGATTAATTTAAGATATCACTTGTGTCCATCATATGCCCTATGGATATCTATGGGTCCAGGTACCTTCTGAGGGAGTACCTGGGGTACAGTCTAGCTGGCCAAGTACCTTTTCAGCAAGTATTTGGATCCATAGGGATAGATACATACATAAATATATATATATAGACAGAGATAACCTATTTGCACATAGTTGCAATTAAATCTGTCTATTTGTATACTAGATAGATAGATAGATAGATAATTAGATAGATAGATAGATAGATAGATCGGTTGACGCTTCAGGGTGGTGTGCATGCATGCATGCATGCATGCATGAATAAATAAACGAATGAATTAATGAATTAATGCATGAATGAATGACTGAATGAATGAATGAATGAATGAAAGAAATAATGAAATGAAATGAAATGAAATGAAATGAAATGAATGAATGAAATGAATGAATGAAAATGAATGAATGAATGAATGAATCAATGAATGAATGAATGAACGAATGAACGAATGAATGAGTGAATGAATGAATGAATGATCGGAATGACATGAATGACATGGAATGAAATAACATGAATTAAATTTTCTGAATGAATGATCGACTGACTGACTGAATGAGTGAATGACTGAATGAGTAAGTGAATGAATGAATGAATGAATGAATGAATGAATGAATGAACGAATGAACGAATGAATGAGTGAATGAATGAATGAATGATCGGAATGACATGAATGACATGGAATGAAATGAAATGAATTAAATTTTCTGAATGAAATGAATGAATGAATGAATGAATGAATGAATGAATGAATGAAATGAAATGAAAGAATGAATGAATGAATGAATGAATGAATTAATGAATGAATGAATGAATGAATGAATGATCGGAATGACATGAATGACATGGAAGGAAATGAAATGAATTAAATTTTCTGAATGAATGATCGACTGACTGACTGAATGAGTGAATGACTGAAGGAGTAAATGAATGAATGACATGAATGAATGAAATGACATGACATGACATGAAACAAAATGAAATCAAAAACATGAAACACATGAAACTATATATATATATGTATATTTAATTAAATATATAAGGTCAGTAGTAAAAACATGTAAGAACGTACCTTTCACCATGCTCCATGGCCCATCTCCGTGGTCGCCAGGTTCGGCACGGCCAGTCCTGTGGATCACCAGTGACCACAGCGACTCAGCGCTGCGGCGATTCCACCTGTCCTGCTTCGGGGTGGCGCCACTGGTGGTGACCCTAGCGTGGGGCCGGGGTAACGAAAACAACGACCACAACATGCCGGTGAATGGTGGTTAACGATGCATGGAGGGGAGATCAACTTGGTAAATTGGTGGTGAATGTAATATGCAATTCCTGCCTTTTTGGGGCAGGAGTACGTTCGAGGGGTAGCAACTGCATTTTTGAGGTAGAACACATCAAAGCTGATTGATGGGTTCCAACATGACACAAAAAACGTGTTGAATTAAATCATTTTACATCTGCATATTTGACATATTCCAGTCATAATATATATCCTTACTTGTAGCATCCCCTCCTGTCACAGATGGAGGCTGAATCCCCGTGGTGGCATCATTGAGCAGCCGAAGGCGGGAGCCGAAGGCGGCCGAACTTCCAACATGGAACCAAGATGAACCAAGTAAGTAAAGCTTTCTACTTGAGAAATGTATGGAAGAGTGGGAATGGATGGGAATGGAAATTTGATTCTACGTCGTCTTAGACTTGTTTTTCTCTGTTTTGAATTTGAATTAGATTTGGTTTTGAATTTGAATTTGACCCGAGTTTGAATTGCGATTCTAATTCGATCTGACTTGCTTGAGTTTGAATCCAATTCAATTTGAGTTGGAATTGTATTTGATCTGGATTGACTTAAAACATCTTATATAAAACGATTAAGATTGAATTTAAGTGAGAGTTGAGCCTAAGCACTTCCACTTGACTTTGAAATGGGATTTAAACTAGTTTCAAACTAAAATCACATTGACTTTCCTTTGGATTTTGAAGCAGATCCCCAAACTTGCGAATTTTACTTGGGCAGTTCAAGGGCTTGTTGTTTAGGTGTTTACTTGTTTCTGGACTATATGACTATATAGCCTCTTTGTGCGTTTGGATTTTAGGCGCTTATGAACCAGCTTTGACAAACAAAATAAGCGTCAGGACCTCGATAATAGAATTGGCCGTCTATTTTCTATACAGGGTTGTTTGATGTTGTTTGCAATTGTTTTACAAAGGTCCCTGTCACATTGAGTAACTCTATTTGGCGTATTCCGTTTATTTCAGTGTTTGCTTGTTTTTAGACTATATGCCCGTTCAAAAAAGGTTGGCGTACTTTACTGTGGGGGTGGTTTATTAGTCTTTGGTTGACATTATTGTCGCGGGGTCCATTAAGCGGATGCAACACTATAGATACCATCCCGTGAACAAAATTCGTTGTTTTAGACAGCATTTAAGTATTTTGCTGGCAGTGCTATTGCTGGGGGACACAAATGTGTAACACAAGTATTGCTAGACGTCAATGGGAGTTTCTTCTGTTGCCAGATGCATATATTATCATATATCTATCTCTCTATCTATTTATCTATCTAATCTAATCTACTCTAATCTTATCTTATCTATCTAATTATGTATATATATATATATCTACTTGAAAAATAGAGAGAGTGAGAGATTACACAAAATCATGCATACATTTCCGTCATTATGATCATCATCATTATCACCAGAAGGTACGCCTCTTTACCTTTTGTTTCTTGTGTCTCCCGTGCGCTGGGCTTCTGCTAACCATTACTGCCGCCTGGACAGGAGACTGTCAAAAATCAGCGCGGAAAAGCGAGACGCGTGCTGCATTGAAAAGCACCGGGAGCGAGAAATGATGGGCATGGTGAAATGCTTGGTAATCTTTGGAAATCATTCCTTTTTCATCTCTTATCTGGGTTGAATGTTCAATGGAAATCCTCGATGAACGCTGGCATTGAGATGAGGGAAACTGACTGTCAATCCATTGCCTCAAAGAAGCGTACTGTTAGTTGCTGTGAAATCTCCTTATGGTAGGCTTTGTGAGGATATCCAATCGACTATCATGGGGTGTAGTATGAGCGTTCAAGACAAGGGCTGATGAAAGAGCAACTTCATGCCCTTTCAATCCCTTTCATAGTTTGCTGCATAAACCTGCTGTGTAAACCTCATAGTTTGATCATGTTTGATCATCAATGGGACAGTTTCCTGGCCATGTTTCGGGGTATCCCAGTACCATGACGAGGTGTCCGGCACACTGGTTTCAGGAAACATGGGAATGGGTAACATGTTTTTTGAGTTGTCGTAGGTGGGAGAATCATCACATTACTATCAACATCACGAATCATTGGCCAGAATTTCATATTCAATGTGTTTGCAAGCTTGAAGCAGATCCTTTCTTGATGTTTTTGTTTTTTTTGGCGCATATCTTGGCATGTTATTTTGTCCATGTCGATCTTCATGGCATGGAACATAGAGTCCAAGGTCTGCAGTTTTCGGCACAAAGTCTAGATTCTTAGACCCAAGGCAACCAGGCCACCCTGGGCTCCCGAGGGCATGACCGCATGGATTCAGTCTGCGGTCCTTGCGCTCTTTGTCATTTGGCGTAAAATCAGCGACTGAACTGACTGAACGGCTGGTTAAATCCGCCCAGAAGCCCTACTTGAGCAGTAGTTGGATCCTAAATTTTAGGGGGGCCCTTGCAACCCTTTGATAAATAAGCCACCGGTGGGGACCTGCGCAACGACCTCAGAGTTGTCACCAGGTAACCACCCAAAATGACCCTATTTCGGCTGGTGAATTGTTATTATGATTTACTATGCCTTATCCCTTGTCTCAGGCTGGTAAATTGATGTAAATTGTCATTTACATAATTTCTCCCGATAGGTCTCCTGTACATTTTTCAGAAGTACGTGCCACAACTCTGCCCAGCTTGTAGCGGCTCCAAAGACGAGAGAACGCGCGAGTATGTAGTGGTGGGAATGGCATGTTGCTCCAAAACATGCAAGCTCCCAGAAAAGGTTGGTTAGTGTTGATAGTTGTGGGTCCCATCGATGCTTCGGGTGAACTTCACACATCACACCCTGTTGCAGGTGAACTCGGTGAGTTCGGTGACCTATACGCCTTCGCAGGTGCGACCTCTGACGTAACAACTCCGTGTTTAAATGAGAACAGCTAGGCCCAGGTAGGCTCACTGGGGCTAGGCCCATGAAAATGACGCAAATGAATCAGACGAAGAATTCTGCAACTCCGATGTTTAATGATGTTCATTTTCCAATTTGTTCCAATGCTTTGCATTTTTTGCATGTTCTTTCAATTTGTCCACTTGTGCTACTGTTGTTAATTAGTTTTGCGTATATGATATAATCTAATTAATAACATATTATAATAACATATAATAAAATATAACATATACAATAATATAATATGACATAATAATGCAATGTAATATAGTAAAACATAGTATAATATGATGTAGTATAATATTTTGGTTGTACATATATATATACACAAACATATATATATATATACATATATATATACATATGTATATATACATATATATATATGTATATATATATATATTTATACATTTATACACAGATATGATATCATATGCATTTTGGATTGTTGCTTGTATTGTAGACAGATGTGCCCCTTTTTCCAGAAGCTCATCGCGAGCTCCAGATCAGTCTGGGCCCCCTCGCGGGCTCCAACTGCAGTGGTCAACTCACCCACAACTGCTGGATGTAGTGTGGTGTAGTGTAGTGCAGTTGTTATTCTAGTTGTATTTGTATTCTAGTTGTAGCTGTAGTTGATGTTGTTGATGCCGTTGAAGCTTTAATGTTGTAGCTCTCGTTGTAGCTGTAGCTGTAGCAGTAGCAGTAGCAGTAGCAGCAGCAGTAGCAGTAGCAGTAGCAGCAGCAGCAGGAATAGTAGTAGTGCCAGTAGTAGTACCAGTAGTAGTACCAGCAGTAGTAGTAGTAGTAGTAGGAGGAGTAGGAGTAGGAGTAGGACTAGGAGGTTGTGGTTGTGGTTGTGGTTGTGGTTGTTGTTGTTGTTGTTGTTGTTGTTGTGGTTGTCGTTGTCGTTGTCGTTGTCGTTGTCGTGGTCGTTGTCGTTGTCGTTGTCGTTGTCGTTGCTGTTGCTGTTGCTGTTGCTGTTGTTGTTGTTGTTGTTGTTGTTGTGGTGGTAAGGTGGTGGTAAGGTGGTGGTGGTGGTGGTGGTGGTGGTGGTGGTGCATCCACAAGTGGTCCGAACGTGCGGCGCCTTTCACGTTTTGACTTCAACATGTGCTTTGCGCCACAACAGCGTGCACCTTTTCAATATCCAAACATCCCAAAAGTGGTCCGAGACCGTCAGTGTTTAACACTTTTTACTTCGAAATGTGCTTCGTGCCACAACGCCGTGCACTTTTTGAACATCTCAACGTCCAAAAGTGCTCCGAACTTGGTGTGCTTTGCCGATTTTGACTTCGAAATGTGCTTCGCGCCACAACTCCGAGCACTTTTCGCACATCTTAACTCCCAAAAGTGCTCCGACACTCAGGTGCCTTGTACATTTTGAGTTCCAAGCGTGCTTCGCGCCACAGCGCCGTGCACTTTTTCGACATCTTCTAACAGTGGTCCGAAAATGAAGAGTTTTTAGCATTTTGACTTGAAAACGCGCTTCGCGCCACAATGGCGTGCAATTTCTCATCTCTCATCTCCCCTGATGTCTCCGCACCCGCGGCTTTGGCGAGCCTACTTTTCCGACCCTCCGGAGCCACAAAGCATTGGAGAAAACACCGTGTTTCGCGACTTTTCTACCTTTTCGCGCACCTGCATCTTCTTTCTTCTGACTCTTTCTCTTCTCTGATCCTCTTTTTTTTTCTCTTCTCTTCCCTGACTCTTCCCATCTCATCTGTCTATATTGTCGGAAGTTTGACTTGCAAACTTCCTTCGAATATCTTCCATATTTTCCCCAAGTCTGATCAGCTATACCCAACGACCAGGTACCCAAGCACCATAAATGACTGGTTGCGAATGGGGAAAAAATGTGAAAACGAACAGGATGCATCTGCATGAGTTGTGGGGTGAACAAAGGCACACATGTTTTCGCCTGTTACTGGACCTAGTCTGCAAATTCCCGTGGGCTACTTGAAGCAACTTGCAGCAACTATGTCAGATCTGGTTTCAGATGTCACCACAACCAAAGAAACAACGCCAGGTTGTTCCGGCGGACAGTTGCGCGTGTAATATTGAAGGGATCCAAAAACGGCCCCTCACGCCTATGTATGACCGGTTGCGCAAAGATGGCAATGGAAAGTCACACGTCATTAATTATAATTATTTGCTTGCGGAGTTCCATTAAGATGTTGATTTCGGATGGTTTCAGCAGGACTGCCAATGCTTCGCTGGATTCAAGTTGGATGCTAGCAGCTAAAAGCTGCACAAAATGGGTAGAAAATGGTTGCGTTTGTTGGGGCGCGATAGGTCGTGGAATTCGCAAAATGCCACGAATTGCAGACCAAACACTTCCTAATGGAAGGCCAGGCAGGGGAGTGAGGCCAGTGGGGGTTCCAGCACATCCGAAGTGACCCCTGATGGCAAAGAGAAAGTGGGGGTAAAGTGGTAAAGAAGATGGGAACAGACATGTGTTCGTTCTAATTATGTCTCTTTGCTTCGATTAATTATCCAATTATATAACACATCTTGACACGCCGTGTTCCCAGCAACAACCGCGATTAAACCATATTAAATTCACTGGGTTATTTCCCAGAAAAACATGTCGAAAGGGCTGGTTTCGGACACTCCAAGGCCCCATTTTCCTGGAACCAATTTTCAGGAGGACAAGTGGGGTGACATGTAGGCCCAACCCCCGGCCAAAGTTGTGTTTCCACCAATGCACGGTGCCTGCGAGGTGGCGTTGGTACTGCAAATCCTGCACCGTGCACAGCACCAACGCCGCTGCAAACGCAACTTGGTTCCCATGAGTTTGATTTGGAGTTGGCCCTCTTACGTGGACAATCCCACGAATCCGGGAATGTCTCAGTGTACATAAATATGTGCATTGTTGTGTATCCAGCATGTTCCAATTCCAATGTGTATATCCAACATTATCCAACATTTTCAATTACAATATTTTTCTTCTAGGTTTTACACGTATACAAACTGTTATAAATTATAAACTTACAAGGCTATATTGTACTTTCACGGCCTGCATGTTTCACTTTCTCTCCATGCTACAATGCTTGCTTTGATAAACTGTATGTGTCCAACCTTTTGGTGAAGCCACATGTGTGTGGCCAGGTGTTTGTTTATTTTGTTTTACACCCATGTTTTGGATGCTCAATGATGTTCGCACCAGAACGATCCAGAACGCGTGACGATGATCCCCACAATGGGTCAAATATATTTACCATTGTTTAAATAATTACCTATTTAATCACACATACATACACACATACATACATACATACATACATACAAACATACATTCCTTCATTCCTTCATTCCTTCATTCCTTCATTCATTCATTCATTCATTCATTCAATCATTCATTCAATCATTCATTCATTCAATCATTCATACATACCTACCTACATTACATACATTACATACATTACATACATTACATGCATTACATACATTTCATTACTTACACTACATTACATTACATTACGTTACATTACATTACATTACGTTACATTACATTACATTACGTTACTTACATACATACACGCATGCATACATACATACATACATACACACATGCACACATACATGCATGCATGCATGCATGCATGCATGCATGCATACATACATACGTACGTACGTACATGCATACATACACA